AGATTTTATTAAACTAGAAAAGCATTTTCATTTCATTTGAGAATTAATATTGTTGAAATTTTAAAGAACAAAATAAAAGATTTAAATTTTTGGCGCTGTTACAAAATTATCCACTTATCTTTCGCTAAGCTGGTCCATTTTGACTGGACTGAAGCGAGGATGGCCAAGGGCTTCAAGTGTAGGTCCCAGTTATGCGGGGTGACCTTATATTTAGTGGCTTCAAAACTAGATGTAGGCGAAGGATGCAGTGAAGTTGAGCTTAAAGGTGATCTTCATTAAGGATGAAGCTGTTAGTGATGGCGCAGCCAAGGCACATGCATGGGTGAAGGCACGGCAAAGTGATAGGCCAAGGAATAGGTAAGCCAAAGTATGGATGAAGGCAAAGTCAAAGTCAAAGACAAAGGAAGGCCAAGTCAAAGACAAAGGGGGTGGCCCCAATCATTTTATCCTATTCAGACACACATTTTCCAAAATGCTAGCACATGGTGCTATATGACCTCATGCTACAGAGAACAAAATTCTCAGTTCTTGTTAGATCGGCGGCTGAAGTGAAAAGAAAGCGCGAGGAAGATCACAGATCAGGAACTCAACACGTGGATGTTATTGCCCGCGTCAAGCGCGCTCCAAGCGGAAATTTTTCCAAATAAAAAAGCTAGAGATGGGATTAATGAGTTGCGATTCTGAAATGAAAATCGAGAAGTGATTTAATAAATACAATCGGACGGTGAAACCGTTACACGCGCCACTACTTAACAAAAAAAAATGCGAAGAAGCATTCAAGAATTTTTTTTAACAAGGAAATTAAAAGTTATCACGGAAGGACAAATGTACAACCATTCGACCAGATAACAAGTAGCAAAAGTAAGGTAGAAACAAAAATGTTAGAAGAGAATTGGAAGAAAAAGGGATAGCCTCAAGTCTACCAAACAAGAGGGATGGTTATAGCACCAACTCGCTGAAAAGTACAGTGAAGTTGCACTTAAAAAAAACTATCATCGTATGATGAACAACCCAAAACATAAAACATCGTCACACCTAGGACGAGAAAAATAATAAACCAAAAGCTTCAGCAGTAGTCCAAGCACGAAGTGAGGAATCACAATGGCATCCAAAATGCACGACTGACAACTAAAAACTTCAAAACTAAGTAAGTACCTAAACCATAAGAGGTACTAAAAATATAAGAGACATTCATGAAATATTGAAGTAAGATTTTCAAAGTCAAAATATAGCTTACGTTCAATCAGTGAAATAAAATTCAAGAGTAAGTTCAATCAAAATTTTCGGGTCATGTGACAGCATAAGAACCAGACCAAAAAAAATTCTGAAGTTCAATATAGAAAAGAGCAAAACAAATTTCCAAAAAAAAACTAAGTGCAACACAAGTGCAACTGTAAATCTAATAGTATTAAAATTATAAAGTGAATGGAAATATCAAAGCTATATGAGCATGACTTTATAAAGAATTCTCAAAAATGAGAAACGAAGTGAGCATATGTAAAATGCAAAATAGCGAAACGAAAATCACAAGATATTTTAATAAATCATGATACATGAGAGTAATGCCGCAAGCAAAAATTGCATGCAAAAGTCTACGATATATATAGGTGCAAAATTGGAGTTATAAAAAAACAATCAAGTGAACAAGAAATAGAAATAAATATGATAGGTAAGAATTCGAATTTTGATTTAAAGCAAAAGTATGAGAGAAAGACAAGTTTCTAGGGACACCATAGGTGCACTCCAAAACCCTAGACAAGAATGTCTATAGTCTATGGAATATTCTCATGTAGATCACTGATATCATCAGCGCACTTCAAAGTCTACACTGAGAATAACCATATCATTGTAAAATGAAAGTTAAGTTCAAATATGAAATATTACAAGATTAGAAAAACTATAATAATTTACCAGTATAAAGTATGAAAAGAGAATTACTATACTGAATCAATAAGAATTGGCTATTACTTCAAGTCAAGACAGAAATTGAAAGAAATAAGAAGTCGCAAAAAAAACTATGAGAGCAGACTATCAAAACAAATGCAATAATGCAAAAGCAAAATCACCAGATATTTCAAAATCTATAGCGAAACATGAAAGCAATGTCGCAACCAAGCTCAACACTTAGCAACACGCACAAATGTGCACAAAGGCTGAAAGCATATATGAAAAATCTCAAGAAGGAATTGACAATTACTTCAAATCAAATTGAACTGATTGAATTGAACTGAGACATAAATTACTATATCAAAAGTGAGTTTTACGCCAGAGGTTTCAAGAGTTTATCAATACGCACAGATTTGCAACTAGGCGGAAAGCATATATGACAAGTCTCAAGAAGAAAATAAAATGCATATGAAGAAAACACTTTCAATTAAAGAAACTGTGGATAGTACAAGACCCTCAAAGGCATACACCGCAACGAATCTATGTAACTATCCAGACTACAAAATACTGTCAAAGTTCAAAACCACTCAAAAATATGTGAACAAACATTAAAAGTTTGAACCAAAAATCAATGTAAGTCTGTGCTCTCGAAGAAAGTTATAATGAATTCAAAAAGAGGGTACTATCAAAAACTTCAAAAGTAATAGACTTCAAAAATAGAGGTACGTGAGTATGTAAAAGAAATTCAGAAAATATACGCATAAAAACATTATAAAATATTATACACAGTATTTGTCACATGATTTTGATCGGGAATGCAATTTAAATTTTGAGTACACTCAGAAAAATGAAATATTCAAAAGATGAAGTATACACATTAAATTGGAATCAGAAAAATAATTATGACTTGTACATTTTGTAAATGGTGGACTGACGTAATAGTTCAAAAGGTTGAAAGAACAACGATGACAAATGTCCAAAGTAAATATTCACCTGCCTTTTACAGGAAATTAGCTTAACAATTATCAAAGGAAATTCTTATCCGTTCGCATCTGTACTAGGAAATAAATATAGGAAAACCTACTCGCTCCAATGTACAAATCGAAAAACTCGCCCCCTTCGATTGAGCGGAAATATGAGGATTGGACTGATTGTAATATTTCAAAAGGTTGAAAGATCAACGATGTTAAATGTCCAAAGTAAACAATCAGCTGGCTCTTACTGCAAATAAGTTTAATCATTATCAAAGGAAATTCTTGTCCGTTCGCATCTGTACTAGGAAATAAATATAGGAAAACCTACTCGCTCCAATGTACAGATTGAAAAACTCGCCCCCTTCGATTGAGCGGAAATATGAGTATTATTAAAAATGATAATGATTAAGCAAAAATTATTTATCTGAATTTTAGAATATCAGAGTATATAAAGCATAATAATACACAAAAGCAAAAGTTAATCGCTGTCCGAATCAGAACTCTCACTCATTACATCATTACGCAAAACATCAATACCATTGCCATGATCAACATTCAACGTATTATCAGGTTTCAAGTCTTTCATATGAAAATCTCCCAAGATATTACCATGGAAATTAAAGTTAAAAACCTGAATACGTCAATAAATGACAAGGATCCAAAACAGTATAAAAAACTAACAATACAAACAGAAAGTTTCAATACAAAAACACTAGCAGCCAAGTCTTAAAAAAATTATTTTATATCTGACATACATTAAAAAAGTACAGAGACGTTCAAGTCCTGTAAATCCAATGGAAAATCAGACACCAATGTTCCAATTCCCCCCCAAACAAGAGACAAAATTACTACAATAGTTACTGAGGAACGTATAATACATATTTCAACAACAAGTTGAAATTTAATTATCATAAATGCGTATGTGTGTCTTTGTATAGGTAAAAATGATTGAATAGGAGTCACCCCCCCATTGAAAAGTAGCAAAAATATAGTCAAGAAAAACATCACAAAGTCAAAGACAAAGGAAGGCCAAGTCAAAGACAAAGGGAAAGGGGGTGGCCCCAATCATTTTATCCTATTCAGACACACATTTTACAAAATGCTAGCACATGGTGCTATATGACCTCATGCTACAGAGAACAAAACTCTCAGTTCTTGTTAGATCGGCGGCTGAAGTGAAAAGAAAGCGCGAGGAAGATCACAGATCAGGAACTCAACACGTGGATGTTATTGCCCGCATCAAGCGCGCTCCAAGCGGAAATTTTTCCGAGTAAAAAAGCTAGAGATGGGATTAATGAGTTGCGATTCTGAAATGAAAATCGAGAAGTGATTTAATAAATAGAATCGGACGGTGAAACCGTTACACGCCTACGAGATCCGCCAGGTGGTACCTCCGCGTTCGACAGTCAGAGACCGTCTACCACCTACGGACAATCACAACATCCATAGCCAATAGAAAAAAATCTCCTGGGACGGGATTCGAACACGCACAGCGCACGGCGACTGATCAGGAGACCGAAGAGTCTACTACTGCGGCCACCGCTGCTGCCTTGTTAAAAAATATGAAAAAAGTTCCTATAAAGATGGGTCCGGAAATGCAGTTTTTAAGATACAGAGTGATACATTCAAGAAAAAATTGTTTTATTAATATCTTAAAAAATATTTGGCAATATTATTTTTTTTATTAAGAGGCTAATTTAGCTCTGAACAAATTAAATTTATTAGGTTCAGTGGCGTCCCGGGGGCATCTTATCAAATATTATTGGCAAAAAATGTACGCTACTGCCTTTTTTTGACTTTAATATTTGTTCTGATTAAGCATTTAAAAATACAGCTTCTCACACAAGTGGCTTGGAAAACAAGAATAAAAAAGCCTCTTAATAAATAATATTGCCAAATTTCAACAAAATCGAGTACCTAAATATTTTTAAGATATAAAAAAAAATAAATTTGTCACCATGTACCTTGGAAATACTGCATTTCTGGACTGATGCTTATAGTAAGTCTTCTTCATATTTCTTAACAACGGATTACCCTCTAAAATATCTCAGTCTATTTTTCGAACACCCTGTATATTAGGCTTTATATGATTTTCATAGTGGGTTAAAACTAAAAACACATCAAGAATCATTGTATTTATTATATTATATATATTATTATACTGTGATTACAAAAAATAGTTAATACAATGTTAAAATGCAGTTTTTGAACAAACTGAAACAGACAATATTTAAATGGCTATGACTAGAAAACATATACCTACATCGATTGCTAGGAATAAGAATGTTAAACTTGCCAAATGTAAATTTGGCTTGTCAGAAATTAAATACTTGAGTCATACAATTTCTTCCAAACGTAAAGAGGCAGATCAGTGAAAATGGATATGCCGAATCTTTCAACAAAGATTGCTGGGTATGCTCACATACCTATCTCAGTAAATTAATCAAAAATTACTCTGATAAAGCTGAACCTCTGAGAGAGCTCTTAAAAAATTAAATTATTTTGTTGGAATAAGGAACAAGAAAATGCTTTCCAAAGTTTCAAGCAAGTACTTACTAGTACACCAGTGTTAAAAATTTTTATTACAAAAGAAAGTACAATTTTAGTAGATGTAAGCAGGAGTAGTAGCTTGTTTCATACAAGATGGACGTCCATGCGTTTATGCTTCAAAATCAATGACAGATAGGTACACAAGTCAGAATTTATTATAAGTCATTTGCGTTGGTTTGAATAAGTTCTATCTATATGTGTATGAAAGAAAAGTCAGTGTAGAGACAGACCGTTATTTTCTATATACAAGAAACTATTGAATAAATGCCCTAGTCGGTTACTGCGTACACATACAAAAATTTGAATTTTTGTTAGCAAAAATTACATATTTATATACAAAAACTGATAAAAATGACCACCTCCACTAACGTGAAAGGCTCGTAGGCTGCCAAACCCCCTCTCATTGAGTTTCGTCTACCGAATTATATTTTCTTTCTCATTGGATTTTCAGCAAAAAACTTTCGGAGGCTGTACTCGTATAGCTGTTCTCATCAATAAACTTAAAAGTTTGTTGAATTACTGTGAAAAATACTTTACATACTACTTATTCATGTGTCAAATATTGAAATTGAATCATTATTGAATGTAATTCAGAAGGAAAAAGCAAGGCTATATTCGGAAAAGTTTGACGTTCTAGAAAGAGAAAATTAGTCATAATTTCAGCTGGACGCAGCAACTTCGACAGTCTTCGGTTCATGTAATTTTACCTATTATGATTTTTTCATATTATGGAAACTAATGCTTTCCAATGAAAGAAGGATCAAGAAAAAGGAAAAGTTGACAAAACCCTAATATTTACAATTTTTCTGATCTCGATTTGAGATATGATCTGCCAATCCAGGTCGTGGAATGTTAGTTTTGTTCAATTTACAAAGTATCAGTTATTCTTACAGGATGATATTTGATGTTCTTCTAAAAAACTACGGCATATCATACTCGTATGTATATCTTTATCATAGATACGAACAGTGATATCTACGATTAATGATGTGGCGGCCAAGGCCTTGGAGGCCGAGGCCTAGGATGAGGTGGCCGAGGCCTGGGATGAGGAGGCCAAGGTCTAGGATTAGGTGGCCATGGTCTAGGATGGGGTGGCCAAGGTCTAGGATGTGGTGGACTATGAGTAGGTCTCTGTGTTGGCTCAGGTGGCCATGGTCGTCTTGTAGGTGTCGGCTTTGCAGTTGGCTTAGGTGGCCAGGTTGGTCGAGGTGACGACGGCCTATCGGTAGGTTTCCTAGTCGGCCTTGCTGTTGGTTTGTGTGTAGGATGTATAGTTGGTTTGTGTGTGGGTTTCCTAGTCGGCCTCGTTGTTGGTTTGTGTGTAGGATGTATAGTGGGCTTGTGTGTGGGTTTCCTAGTCGGCCTTGTTATTGGTTTGTGTGTAGGATCTATAGTTGGTTTGTGTGTGGGTTTTCTAGTCGGCCTTGGAGTTGGTTTGGGTGTAGGATGTATAGTTGGTTTGTGTGTGGGTTTCCTAGTCGGCATCTTTGTTGGTTTTTGTGTAGGATGTATAGTTGGCTTATGTGTGGGTTTCCTAGTCGGCCTTTGCGTTGGTTTATGTGTGGGTTTCCTAGTCGGCCTCTTTGTTGGTTTGTGTGTGGGATGTATTGTTGGCTTGTGAGTGGGTTTCCTAGTCGGCCTCGTTGTTGGTTTGTGTGTAGGATGTATAGTTGGTTTGTGTGTAGGATGTATAGTTGGTTTGTGTGTGGGTTTTCTAGTCGGCCTTGGAGTTGGTTTTTGTGTAGGATGTATAGTTGGTTTGTGTGTGGGTTTCCTAGTCGGCCTTGGTGTTGGATTGTGTGTTGGATGTATAGTTGGTTTGTGTGTGGGTTTCTTAGATGGCCTTGATGATGGTTTGTGTGTGGGTTTCCTAGTCGACGTTGGAGTTGGTTTGTGTGTAGGATGTATAGTTGGTTTGTGTGTGGGCTTCTTAGTTGTCGTTGATGCTGGTTTGTGTGTAGGATGTACAGTGGGTTTTGCTGTAGGACGTTTGGTCGGTGTTATAGTTGGCGCCGGTGTTGGTTTGGCTGTAGGATAAGTAGTTGATTTGTGTGTTGGTTGCCTTGTTGATGTTTCTGTAGGGCTTTTGGTCGGTGTTATAGTTGACCTTGGTGTTGGTTTGTGTGTGGGGTGTATGGTTGGCGCATGTGTGGGTTGGATAGTTGGCTTCTTTGTGGGTTTCCTAGTCGGCTTTGGTGTAGGTTGCTTAGTCGGCGCTGCAGTTGGTCGTTTTGTCGGCTTAGTTGGCCTTGACATTGGGCTCTCAGTAGGCTTCTTCGTTGATGACGTGGATGTGGATGGCGTTGGACTTAATGTTGATTCTGTTGTTGGTTTAGGTGATGGCTTTGTTGAAGGTGTTGGTTTGGTGATGGGTGCAGATGTTGGAGTTATAGCTGAGGTTGTAGAACTTTGAGTTGGTGATTTAGTAACTGTAGTTGGTAAGTCTGTCGATGCTGTTGTAGGGCTGTAAGTAAGATGTGTGGAACTTGTAGAAGGATGCGTAGTAGTCCTACATCCAGCGCGGTCAGGGTAGTCACAGACATGCTTAATGGGGTTGAAATCCAATCCTGGTGGGCAGGTCATCAGATATGGTGTACCGTTGGAGCATTGATAATATAGCGAGCAATTTACCTCGTGAGGAAAGAAGGTTGGAGTTCCATGGTCAGTGCTTGGACAAGTAGCTGGAAGAATAATGAAATTTTTGTGAGTAACTTCAACATTAAATATGTCGAACAGATAGATGATGAATGAATGTTCTTTGGAGGGAGATAGCAGTCATACTGATGTATTAGTTTGGTGATTATAATTGTTTTTAACATAGTACTGGCATTTAGCAAAAAATGTAGATGTATTGTTGTATTGTTTCTAGAAAGTTTGGACCAGTAGTAGCAGTGGTGGTGGAGAGACGAAGCCTGTCAACTAGGACACCGTCTTTTTTTGCCTAATGCCTACCCTATAGTACGAAAACTGTACTACTTCACGTCCCATCTATTAGTAATTGCTCATTGAATAAGCCAGCTCCATCGACGCGATGAACCATTGATTCATCTATGACGATAATCAATAGATGGCACCTCTGTTGATCTTGCACCGATGTGCTGCGTAATATAGACAACACGAAATTCACTTCCGAGGTGGAGATTCGGACCCGCGAGCCTCCTATGCCTGGATGCAATTTAACTTTTCAATCCTGATATATTTCGTAAAAGATGAAGCCGCGGTGCCAATATGTTACATCAGAAAATGTTCGCACTGGCTTATACGATAGGTTAGGTTACTGTTAAACCCAAGAAGGAGGTCTGTTCGAACATCTAATTTAATATTTTGTTTTCATCTTGATTAGAATATTTATTTCAATTATGATGCGACTTAGTGTTTTAATTTATTTTAGAATTATCTTTGATTTCCAGTGACGGTGATAAAATGAACACATCTTGAGTTATTGTTACATTTTGCGACAGCGAACGGTTGGAAAATGTCACAAATACCATTACGCGATACAAATGTTCACTACCTGCGTACACCATTCGAAGCAGGATAGCACTGCCAAATGAGTGCTAGATGGGTACTGAGAAAAGTCGCTCATCTATCATCATGGGAAACCTTGCCTTGGAATGCACGAGATGCGGTGTTGCCAAGCGAACCAGTGATGAAATATTGAAGAATTTGCGGCGATCTTGACCTTTCAGTTCGACTTAAAATGAAGCGCGATCCGGGATCGATCCTAAACAGATTCGACACAATTCACAATTCCAAAATGTGTACGCTCAAAATAAAATCATTATTTTGGCATAGAGAATAAACTAAAACATGCATCTTAATTCAAGGAACTGGTGTAACATATTGGTAACGCTGCAGATTGCTGCGTCAGCGTTGCTAGGCAAAGCGGTGATGACCTTCGCTATTCAGCCGGCTTCTCTTTCTAACATATGGGTCTATGCACACTTCTCTCTCGTACACATAGAACTCAACCCGTCAGACAAATTTGGTTTTTAATGTATACAGAAATTAGAAGGTATTAGAGCGCTTCCGCGAAATTCGAAAAAATTGCGTCGAGTAGATTTACTCTGTACTTCCCAGGCAATTCTGGACAAATAATCTTTGTTTGCCGGCCATAAAAATCATTGTAAGGCCGTAAGGTACAATTACTATCAGTGAAAAAAACATTGTTTGTCAAAAATTGAAATTATGGGCTTTAAAAACACATTATAGTATCTGAATCATGTTTCTTACGTTCTGGTAGATTTACAATTGGTTGGCTATAGAAACCCTTATAGTTGGTCATGTGATTGAATGAATATGATTGGAGAAAAAGTATTTTCCGGTCATTTTATAATTTCATATTTCAAATAATCGAGGACAACCTTCGAACGTCGTGGTATTATTTGCTTGAGGAACAGGTACTAAAAATATATGAAATTTTTCATTTCACTAAATGTCTTCATATTTCTAGAAGACTGATTAACGTCTATTCGTTATCTTACCCCTGAATAACTAGGTACAGCGTTAATGTTGTCACCCTATCCGATTATTTATATTTAATAAATTATATTGCTGTTGCACTCACTATGTTGACACTTTTTTAAGGAGGTCGTAAATATACTAAGTGACATATAAATCCGAACACCCAGTTTAAATGGTTTTATTTTATTAAAATTTTGTATAAGTACTTAATGAAGCATAATAAGTAAATGATAAAAATTTCAAAATGATTATTGCACTTAAAGCAGTGCCCTTTGACCTTTAATAATGTGTGGATGCACCCTGATGTGCTACACATTCTCCAACGCGCCTACGCATGCTTCTGATCAGGTGGTCAATGTCCTCCTATGGTATCTCATTCCAGGCAACCACCAACTCCTCTCGAAGTGCTTCTAGAGTCTGAGGAGGACGTTGCAAATTGAGCAATCTCCTACCCATCATATCCCACAGGTGCTCAATTGAGGATAAGTCGGGAGATCTTGGTGGCCATGGTAACAATGTGACATCATTATGTTGAAAGAAGTCTATTGTGACTCTTGCAACATGTGGTAGGGCATTATCTTGTTGGAAAGTTGGATCTGCCAGGGTGTCAAGATAGGGTGAAAGATGGGGTTCTAGAACTCCGTGGATATAACGCTGCGCGTTCATGTTACCTCTGATGAAGATTAAAGGTGACCTGGAACCATAAGCTATAGCACCCCAAACCATAACTCCAACAGTGTGATGAACATGTCTTTCAACAAAAAACTGTGGATTCTTCCTTTCACCACGTCGCCTTCTAACCCTGGCACGACCATCGTGCATGCCTAAACAAAATCGAGACTCGTCACTAAAGACAATACTGTTCCATTCCTGATCCCAGAGTGACTGTTGTCTGCACCACTCAAGGCGATTACGTCGGTGTTCTCGAGTTAAAGGGAGGACCCAGTGTGGCCGGTATGAAAACAAGACAAAACTTCTCATTCGTCGGTAAACACTTCGCATGCCAATAGGTCTTCCGTGTTCTGCAAACCATTCATTTGCAATGGACCTGGTAGTGGAGAAACGGTCCCTTAAGGCCAATAATCTTAGGCGGCGATCTTCACGGTCTGTTGTTCTACGGCGGCGTCCAGTGCCCCTTGCTCTTTGCGTACGGCCTTCTCGAAGCCATGCCTGACAACACCTAACCACAGTGTCTACACTTCTTTGCACTCTAACTGCAATTGCCCGAAAAGAAAGTCCAGCTTCCCGAAGTCCCACTATACGGCCCCTATCAAACTCACTAAGTTGACGAAATGGTACAGGTCTCCGTACTCTAGGCATCGTAACCGATCGTAAAGGATGTCAAGAACTAAAATCCGCCAACGTTGATTCTTTACTGCGGCTGAAATATTCATTTTTAGAGCGTTAGTGAATTAAAAAAAAGCAGTATAAAAACCGGAATGTCCATCTGATAAGGCTGAAAATTTTTATCACTTGTTATTTACAGTAAGATAAATACCTACATTCACCAACTTTTATTAAAACAAAACTATTTAAACTGGGTGTTCGGATTTATATGTCACTTAGTATAGAATTAGTTGTGTCAGACTCAGAACATTGATAGTACATTTTACTGGTGATTTCAACTTTAGATTTATTCTATCAGCAGTAGAATAAAATGTAAATAATTGTCTAGAGTTAAACTGAAGTACATCGAATTTGGTACGCGATAAAAGATCTGAACAATCAATAACATCATACATCAATTTATATAGAACTGAAAAGGATGACCGTGTCCGTCTGAGCTCCAAACTTTCAATGTCAAAAAGGCTTAGTAAAAGATTGTACTTAGTTCCTTGTTATGGATATGTATGGTTCTTTTTAAACACTAGATATTTCAAAAACTTCCTTTGTAGTTTTTCCAGTCTCTCCTTGCGACACTGATACTATGGGTTCCAGACATTCGAATAGTACTCCAGTTTAGAACGTACATAAGAAAAAAAATATTTCAGTGCTGCTTCACTATAAATGGTCGACAATTGCTAACGATGAGTCCATACATTTTGTTTGCTTCAGCAATTTTGTTATCAATATGGTTAATGAAACTGATTTGTGAATCGAATAACACTCCTAGATATTTAGTGGTTAAATGACGCTAAAAAAAACTATCAATGTTGTAATTAAACAAAATTGGTGCTTTTTTCCTAGAGAAAGTGACTACTTCACACTTTGCAACATTCAGTGACAGTCTATTATTAATACACTCAATAATACACCTAGATATCTAGTGTTTAAATGATCGACAATTTCTAACGATGATTCCATACATTTTGTTTGCTTCAGCAATTTTGTTATCAATAAGATTAATGAAACTGATTTGTGAATCGAATAATACTCCTAGATATTTAGTGTTTAAATGACGCAAAAAAAACTATCAATGTTGTAATTAAACAAAATTGGTGCTTTTTTCCTAGAGACAGTGACTACTTCACACTTTGCAACATTCAGTGATAGTCTATTATTAATACACCATAACTGAACTTTGTTGAGCATGATCTGTAACCTATCACAATCTCCTATAGACTTTAAGCTCGTCAGCATAAAACAATTTTCGCGTTTCAATTAAATTATCCAAATCATTAATGATTGCCTTCGAATTTCATATGTTTCGTCTTATAAAAACCCCTATAAAGTTTCATTATGGTTGTTAATGGATTCATCTTAGAGCCTAAGCGGTTGAGTTTATTTAAACTTGCCAAACACATATGTAGGTACGCCACCTTGTATACCTGTAAATAAGATTTTCTGGCGCTTCTATAGATCTAAACGCATGTACTACCTTGAAATGCTAAAGAAAACATGTACTTACGCACTCCTAAAGCAATAGCCAATGTCCAGGCAGCAGTCAAAAGAAAACGTTTCCACATTTTCTTTCATTGATGACGTATCTGCCCACATACGTTTTACTTGTATCACAAGTAGAAAGTATTCAATTTAAAATATCGTTGTATATTTATATATCACCAAATCTCAAAATACATGACCGATAAGGGACACAATAATAACCACTTTTACTATTTGAAATCAGGTATCTCCTCGCAAATACATATCAATGATGTTGACTAATCATCATAGGAATCACTATAGTGTGGAATAGTCGAAATGAATAAATTTGTTACCTCAATCAAACATTTGGTTCTCCCTGAAGTTGCACGCCTATGCAGGGGAAGGGAATGAAAACGACTGAAGTGAAACTTTTCCGCAATGTTTACAATTTTGGCGACAGTAAATGTTTTTGGTGGTATCATTTGATCTTATTGCTTCCTAATAATAAGTTCAAATTGGCGTTGTCATGTGGCTGGAGTATTTGCCGCGCTTGATCGAAAATCTCGAATACCATCGATCCTATGTAAAAGCTTCTAATAATACATATATAATTTTGTAAGGATTAAATTCATCATTATGCTTCTGAAAGATTTCCCAACAGGTTACGAGAACGTGCCAACATACAACATGTTTTCAAGTGGTGATAACTCTAGACGTCATTATCTATGATCAATAATACCATTTTAGAGTGAATCCATTTTTTACTGCGACACGTAGGTGTGGAAAATGTAAAATTTTCGATATGTTATGATTTTAATGGAAATGGAGTGATGGTACCACATCTTCTCCTTCCAGTGAAATTGCTGCAACTGTTACTGAAGTTACTCAGTGACAAAATCGCCAATAGACAGATTAATGGGAGTGAATGACTTGATCTTCATAATGAAAACGTACCAAATAAACAAAAAATTGTGTTTAAGTTTTACTTTAGTTGTGCAAATTTTAATCCTTTCTGTAATTATATTAATGAATTTTTGCATTGGTCCTTCTAAGTCATGGTAGACATCAGGCCATAGCTCATTGATGAAAGCTTTCTCAAGTTTACCATAATCTAAGAAATATTTATATTTAAGACTTCTGTCGCATTTTGGTTCAGATTTCACACAACATTGGAATATAATAGGATAGTAATCAGATGTAGGTATTTCCAAAATTCCGCTACATAACATAGAGATGTGTTTGACCTGACAAAAATGTGGTATATGGATGTTTCTGTTTAGTTACTGACCCTTGCATATCTTTGAGAAAATGTGACAGAAAGAAAATTTGTTGAGGTGCAAGACCGCATCTGGATGCTTGTGTGTATTCTTTTGCTGGTATATATACTCAGTGGCATTAGAAGTGTTACACTCAGAAAAAATAATTTCTTCAACTTGATCTTTTGGCAATGAGAAAGTGTTACATCAAGAATGAAACGATAACATTCTCACGAAATTGACAAGTAATAAGAAAGCTGAATACACTCCTGTATATGTCTAGGCATCAACTAAATGAGACGATCGATGTCTGGTTGTGGCACCTCATTCCAAGCAACTCGAACTTCGTGGGTTAGCTGTGGCAGATTCTCTGGCGGATGGTGCAAAGTGGATAGTCTCCACCCTATCATATCCCACACATGTTCGATGGGATTTAAATCCAGTGGACAGGTTTGCCACGGCAACACATTGACGCCTGCTTCTTGAAGAAAGTCCGTAGTATGACGAGCAATATGGGGACGTGCGTTGTCTTCCTGAAAAAGGACGAGTGGACGGCAGTAAAGTGGTTAGTAGGGCATCATCAACATAACGCGCAGCAGTCATATTGCCTTGAACAAAGAGAATGGGGTCAACAGTTTTGTGTCCTCTCAACAGCAACTTCAATATCACGCTCTTCTCCATGGCGGCGTCTTACCCTTCTACGACCATATTGCGTACCTAGACAGCGATTCGTCGCTGAAGATGACGTTATGCCATTCTGCCTCCCAATGTTTCCGTTCCCTGCTCCAGTTCAAATGTTGACGACAGTGGTCTACAGTCAGGGGAAGCACGGTTCGAAAAAAGTGCAAAAGCTGGAATGCGGCGATAGAGTGCACGCGTAGTAACAGGCCTACCTGCTTCTCCAAACCATTGGTCAGCGATTTGACGCATAGTAGCAAAACGGTCTCGTAAGGCTAGTTGCCCGAAGCGCCTATCTTGACGCTCTGTGGTACTCTTTGGTGGACCAGTTGGCCTTCTTCGTGTTCCTTTACCTTCTTCTATCCACATACGACATTACCGTCATTCCAGTACAATTAACACGGCGGCCAATTTCGCGATAGGACAAACCAGCATTTCGATAGGTAATAATTCTACCCCTGTCAAAGTCGCTTACATGATAATAATTGACCGTCTCCGAACTCGAGGCATTTTGTTATGTCTAACACTAGTAAATGAAAGGGCAATAACAAAAAATACCTGTACCACTCAGCAGGGGCGGCTGGCCCTTAAGTTCTGCAGAGCTGCAGAACTGCCAAAACTTTTGTCTTAACAGAAAAAAGTAGTAGTAATTTGATCATTATTTATTTTCCATGTTATCACACAAATAGAAACAATACCGGCCTGCCACCGCAAGACACGGCATCGAGTCTGTTTTGCAGCATTATAATCGACCAATTCTGTACTTGTCATTTTCGTCGCGACCGCAGCGTAACATTATTCATGGGCCACTTAAAAAGGGTATATGCACTACTTCGACACAAGCCGCACGCGCTTGCTTTTGTCTCTCTCTGCAAAATCAAATGCGCGATTTAAGCATAAGCATGTGCTGCAATTTATGGAGATCCGTACAGATCTAATGCGAAGTACGATATCTGATTGGTCGGTCGGTGCTCGGTCCTCGGTATCGGCATATTGGTCTTGTCGCGTGACGTGGCTTAAAATTTGAATGCGAAAAAATTTTTATTCAGGTATTTTGGGTGTTACGTGACGTTGAGTGACTAGTGACTCACTGACTGACGGTGGCTGTCTAGAAGAGTAGTGCAAGACAATGGATGTGGTTTACAGACTTATCAGCGTGAAACGATTCTAGAAATACACATTTGAAGAAAAAATTGAGCTGAAGGTGTGAGGTCGACCGCTACCGGACATATTTATAGAAACACAGGGCGTTAGTCGGGGCAAGGGCTATACGCAGCATTTTAGCAGGGAGATTTAACCAGAAATGACTGGATTTGTGGGTGCAACAGGAAAATGCCCTTTTCTGCTTTCCTTGCATACTTTTCGGGGGTGACAAAGCTTGGTCGGAGGTGGGTGTTACAGATTTAGTGTACCTGAGTGAAAAAATTAAGAAGCATGAAAACTTTAAAACACGTCTTCATAATTGGATTGAATTGGCTTTATTGGGAACTGTTAACATCAGAGCTCAGTTAGATTCATCATATTGGAGAAATATACAACAGCATAATGATACCGTTACAAAAAACAGGTACGTTCTATCAAAAATAAACCGAGAGCTCCCAAAACCTGGGAATATTTCGTGGACTGATTAATTTTTCTGCTGAGCTTGATACAACCTAAAGCGAACACATAAAAAATGCTACAATATTTAAAGGAACTTCGAAAGAAATACAAAGCGATCTACTGGATTGTATTCTTGAAGTTTGTCATGAAGAAATAAAAAACAGATTAACAGAGCCTCGTATTTGGCGAGAATAGCAGATGAAACAACGGACATTTCGGGGAAAATCCAACTGGTAACAATTTTCAGATACGTATTTAACGGCGAACCAGTAGAACGTTTTTGGAATTATATGAATCCCAAAAAATGTGACGCTGATACTCTCACAAGATATATTTTGAGCGTGGTAGAACCATTAATAAGAAATTTCCCTAACAAACTGATTTCACAAAGCTATGATGGGGCCGCGGTAATGAGCGGACATAATGCTGGAGTATAGGCAAAAATTAAACAAAGATATCCATTTGCTCACTATGTGCATTGCTATGCGCATCAGTTAAACCTGATTATGTCCCAAGCTGCTTCCGCAAATGATCAAGTTCGGGTGTTCTTTGGGGATTTGAAAGATATTCCGGGATTTTTTAATAATTCTCCTTAACGCGTAGAGGTACTGAACAGAATTGTGGGGAAAAAATTCCACAAGGAGCAACAACTCGTTGGAATTTTAATATTGTTGTCTAAATAATTCCTAACTTGTCTGTAGTAGTATGGTGGAGCACCATCTTGCTGGAATACAATATCAGTATCAAATTCATTAGGATTCGCTTTGTTGAGCCGGTTAAGGTTTGTTCGAGGATTAGAGGCCCCACAAAATGATTTCCCAATATCCCAGCCCAAACGTTAATTTTTTGTGGAGTTTCTCGGAAGACGTGGGGATTGGTGTCACTCCAATAACGACAATTTTGTCTATGTACATTAGCATTTTTAAAAAATGTACATTCATCACTAAAACAAATATTTTGGATATAGGTAGGATGCCGTGCAATGGTTTCCGTCATAGTCTCGATCAGGGTCATCTTCAGTTAGCTGATGTACTATTTGAATTTTGTATGCGTGATACTTATTCTTTTTCAAAAGTCCCCATACAGTAGTAGGACAAACCTTACATACATTCGCGATGGAGGAATCAGACTGTTGGGGATTTACTATGATCTCACCAATTATTTGAACTTGCTTTTCTTCCGGGATGACCTGGGGGCTTTTTGTTGTTTACACTACCAGTAGCTGTAAATTTAGATACACGTTTCTTTAAATATTTTCTACAGATAGGACGATTCGGGAAACGATCATTAAAAATCCTTTCGGTTTCGTGAAAGTTACGCGTCGCACCATAAATAAAAATCGCTTTTGGTTTTTGACCCGAGCGTTTGTGAGCCGAGGACATCACAGCTGCGCCTAGAGCCGTAACTGGAAGAAGACCAGTGTCCAGATAAGTGTAGGTTTAGGCGTTAAAATAATTGTAAAGTCTTCATGCGTGTACCACGGTAAACGTTTTGCAGGGTTGATTATCACGGTCTAATAATTATATTGTGCGGTAGTTTAATAACAATAACCTTTTTTTTAACTTGCACTCCAGTGGTGGTGCGTATGTACTTTTTGATTAGATAATATATTGTAATGTTTTTTAAATACCTTGTTTTATTTGGCTCTATGTGTACAATTAATTAGGTTTTATCATTATTGTTAGATTAATTTTTTTGTGTGGGTGGTCAAGCAAAACGAGTTCCGACTGACATCTTGGGGATTCTTGGCTTAATCAGTCTTAAGTCACTGGCGCTGTTAACCCTCCCCACTCTCCGCTTTATCGAGCTAGGGCCTAAACTTGCACGTCACTTGACAGCTGTTTTGCTTTGGCTAATCCTTATATTTCATTCTTAGTATTTTATTTATTTATTAATTAATCAATTAAAAAAAGGAAAGAGGAATCGCACCATCATTTACGCCTCCTAGCGGCTATTTGAGGAAGCTGAAAGTAATTTTCAGCAATTTCTCTTGGCCATTATTTTCATGAAATTGTTAACGGATCACTTCAGATTAAGTTGTTGCTAGGATATAGCCAGCGTCCTTTATTATTGAGCCATCCGGTACAAATGAAATGGATGTAATTTTCAAGCATGCTTTGCAAGATAAGGAACTTGTAGTGAAAATCAATGGTGAATTTATTAATAATTCCGTTATCATTTGCGATAGTATTCAGGGCATTCAAAAACTGTTGAATTGTGTTAACAATGTAACACGGGAGATGGGACTAAAAATAAACACCACCAGAATAAAATTTTGGTATTCAACTGCCAGCTACATGCTTCCCTGTAGATAAACCAAAAATTTTAACAACTACTCATGAACCCAAATGTAGTATAGAAATAGCCCCTACCATGTTCCTGGAAATGAATGCATTATTCCGGAACAACTTAACCCTGAATTTGCGACAGATAATGATCAAATGTTAAATTTGGTTTGTGTTGTTATACATAGAAAAAACATGGATATGGATGGTAATCTTCTACGCTACTGATTGAGGGTATGACACGCCACAGCTTTATTCACTTGACATATACGGTTTCCAATATCGAACTTCATGGTGTTTTTAAAATAAGGGAGGCTAAAGCTTTTCATAAGAATATTTTACAATTTTACCAAAAATGTTCATACCGAAATATCTCCAAAATGAGTAATGTGACAAAAATTCCTTAAGAAACAAAATTCATTTATTTTACCAAATGTACTTCTTTTTCCGAAAAGGGCAATGGCGTAGAACATATTTCCTACTAGGGGTCCGAGTACCCCAGTTTCTCCGTCCCTGGTCTAGTTTGGGAAGCTCTGTGTCTTTATTGCTTATGATGTGCTGACAAACGTCTAACCTCAGACTAAAAATATAAATAGACTTACCATTCTTACGGCACTGTAATGCATGAAGACAAACAAACCCAATTCAAAACAAATACAAACAATAAGCTGTGTATGTGCAGACCACAGCTGATTCCACCAGTGGCGTAGGTGCTTTTTTTTGTAATGGTGTTCTGGTTAATACACCCAGTATCACCTTCCATGGCAGTGAAAAGAATAAACACAGAGAAGTAAACAAGGTTTTATTATTGGAACTTAATTATCAGGTTTATTGTTTCATAATACCTAGAACAAAGGTATATAAACAAGAGAGAGAGTATTATGTAAATAATAAGAATTGAGTAGAAACTTTCCTGTCCAGAGTATGAATACAAAAAAAAATAGTAACCATGATCAAAAGTTGTATATAAAAAATATATAAACAAACAGAAAAAGAATAAATAATTGACGCATCAATTTAAATATTCTGTCTTGATATTGAAGGCACAAAAAACTATTCATTCCTTAAGAAAGATCTTAGCTTAAATAATTCCCTATAGTATTTAAAAAGTTTGTATCATAAATTCAACTCATTCCTTTTATTTAGGCAAGCAAAGACAGATTTGGGCCAAACGATCTGACAGAATATGCTCTCTCAATGGATTGTATAATGGACATTCCAGGAGGAGATGTCCTAAAGATTCGGTCTTTCGAGTATTACATATTGTAAAGGGTGTCCCAAAATTAACGCAAGATTTGAATTTGCCGCCATTTGTGCAGTGAAGTGTTGGCAACCCTGAAAAAAAGCAATTTGACAGCTAACAGTATAGGGTTATGAAAAATGGAGCGTTACACGATAGAACAACGTGTCTTCATTATTAAAGAATATTTCAAAAATAGTGAAAGCTTGGCGGCTGCAGTTCGAAAATTTCATACAAAATATGGCCGGAATAGTGTTTTAACTTCGTCAACTGTGAAGAGATTAATTGAAAAATTCATGGAGACTGGATCCGTTGGAGACGCCAAACACACTGGTCGTCCAAAAACAAGCCGTTCAAATGTGAATATCGAAGCAGTGCGTGAGAGTGTTGCGGACAATCCAGGAACCTCAATTCGACGTCGTGGACAAGAATTGCAAATGTCAAGAACCTCTCTACAGCGTATACTCACCAAAGATCTGTGTCTTCATGCTTACAAACTTCAATTAACACAACAATTGAAGCTTAATGACCATGCAGAGAGAAGAGAGTTTGTTGAATGGATTATTGAACATCAACAAATGGACCCTGATTTTTCAAGCAAAATCATCCTAAGCGATGAAGCACATTTTCATCTTGATGGCTTTGTCAATCGCCAAAATTGCCGCATTTGGGGTTCGGAGAACCCACGTGTGATTGTCGAAAAAGAAATGCACCCACAACGCGTGACTGTCTGGTGTGGATTTTGGGCTGGAGGCATAATTGGGCCATATTTTTTTGAAAATGATGCTGGTCAAGCAGTGACTGTTACTGGTGCTCGATATCGCGACATGATTACACAGTTCTTTCTGCCAAAATTGAATGATATTGATGTACCCAATATGTGGTTTCAACAAGACGGTGCCACATGTCATACAGCCCGTGAAACAATTCAATTACTGCATGAGACATTTCCCGGTCGTGTACTCTCTCGTTTCGGTGATCAAAATTGGCCTCCTAGATCGTGTGATTTAACACCATTAGACTTCTTTTTATGGGGTTATTTGAAATCACAAGTCTATGTCAACAAGCCCACAACCACCCGTGCATTAAAGGAGGAGATTCAACGCTGCATCAACGAAATTCAGCCACATTTATGCAGAAGGGTCATGGAAAATTTCGACAAAAGAGTGCGCATGTGCATGCAAAGCCGTGGAGGCCATTTGTCCGATGTGTTATTCCATACATAACCCTATCCTATGTACTTTATGAGTCAATAAAAATATAACTATTAAAAGACTAAAAATGGCATTTTCTATTTAATTCAAATCTTGCGTTAATTTTGGGACACCCTTTACAATAGTCTGTTTGGTCAACCCTGTATGAAATATTGTTTAGGAAGATTTTGAGACTATTTATTGTGGAGCTTAAGTTGGATTATAAATCGTTTTATACATAACGGTATACTTGGGGATTTAGTGTACTCTGTAGACTCTGATAGCCATTTTAGCCATTTAGCGCGTCAAAAAGTTCTTGTATTGATATATGCTGATCCAGATATGCATGTAAAACATCTAAAAAGCTAAAGTCAACATTGGGGGTAGGTTTATACATTATTTTATAGTAGTCAATCCATGTTTGGAGATTTAGTGCATATTTTAGTAAAACAATTCCTTTGGACTTTTCACTCTCCCTAAGTCATTATTTATAATTCATCTTATAATTTTGCTTTTTATTTTTTTGTAATTATCAGGTCTTATTGATTCTGAAATAATATACTTTTTGTGAGTAATGATCGTACACGTTTTGAAGGGGCATTCAAGTTAGAGGTATAATGGTACCACTTAATGGTAAAATATTGTTCTAAAACTTGTTTACAGAGCAATGGAAAATGATTACTTAAAGGTTCATCTTCGAATACATGGTCCTTAAACACATTTCCGAATCCAAGAGGTAAATTTTGCAATGTATAATTTGTTAATATTTGTGAAGCTCTTGTCATATTTTTTTGCCAACTTCTAACCTTTCCTTATATAACCTAAAGCAATGTTCTTCATATTTACACACATTTATTACAAAAGCGGAGGCTTTAACTAATTTTCCATACGTTCTTCTTATTTGTAATTTCGATATAGACTCTCCTGAAGTTTCTAACAAATCTAAACAACTCTGGCATTTTATAGACTTTTTTAGCCTCTTCACAACAAAACCTGCAACATATGCAACAACATCTTCCAAATACAGTTTAAGCTACCAAGGACTTATTCGAAGAATGTTTTTAAATTGTATAAAATCTTCATCTTCCTCTATACTGTTTAATGATGAGGTCATATCCTCATTAATTTTGATCTCTAAAGATGATGATGAACAGTGCAAAATGGATGTGCTATCTAATGCCACGACATTGGATGCTTCATTGCCACTTATTTCAGTATGAAGTAATAATTTTTTTAAAATATTTTGAAACTGCTTCGAGGTAGGATTATTGCTGTATCCTCCTTTGCTTCTTACACAACTGAAGAAAATTTCCAAATGATCTTGAGATAACTTATATGTGAGAAGGTACTTCAGCTCTTTGGTTTCTTTGACTCTATATTCATACAGGCTGTTTATTGAAATTATGAATCCCAAAAATCCTAATTTTCTTCTAGAAAGTATAACTCTAGTGTCTCCTAATTTTAACGATTTCAAATAATCCTTCGCTTCTTCTAAGAAATTGAAATATTGTTCAGTAGCAGGTGACAAGGGTTTCTCATAAGGTTTTTTTGACATCCTATTCCTTGAATTAAAAACATCAAATAAATTGTTTACTGTTCTACAAAAATATGCTGTAGCTTCTGAATCCTTGAAGACAGCCATAGCCAGATCTTTGTTCAAAAAGTCCAATGCTTCTGCAACACTCTTGCTCAAAGTCTGGACGCCAAGTTTAACTTTCATCTTTTCATTCACCCATTGGAGATTCTTCTTGTTTTTTCTTATCACTAGGAAACCTGAAAGATCAAAAACTTGTCTAACAGAAGAGTATTTTTTGAAAATCACCACACATACAGTGTAAAAACAACCAATAACTATAAAATGTCTATTTCTTAATACTAAAAATCACAACGCATCCCCATGCGCTACGCCCTTGTCTTCCTCTAACCTCTAACTCACCTGTGGAAGGTTGCCTCAGTTTTTTCACTGCTAACTCCACAAAGAATGCACTTCCGACGTCCCATTGTCTTTGAAAATTGTCTATCAATGATAACAATGCTATAATTGCCGCTAAAACAACCTGAAAACATTTTTGAATACTCGCAACAAATTCACTGTGCACAACAACAAACACCAGATCTTTGTAAATTCTGTGTACGCATCCACCACTTGCCATTGAACACCGTTGCCACGTTCGTCAAAAAGTCGGTAGAAATGTGTTACTTTCGAATGAGAGCAAGTTTCGTCCAAGGTGGAACAAATCCAGTCAAACAACTGACTGGGCAAAATATTATATGTAATGTTCGCTATGAATTACCCAACATGAACCTGCATCCGTTTTGAATTGAATTTACGGCGTGTCGGCCACCTCTGTGACCGTTTTTGCGAGTATGTATAAACAAATATGAAAAGAAAAAATAAATTTTTAAAATTTAAAATGACGTTGACAACTGCCTAGGAGCAGTTGTTTGATCGACCCACGATCGACCGGAGCTTCCACACCTTATTTAAGTCCACCTTCATTTCGGGCGGAGTGCACACCAATATCTCATTCCATTTTCAATAGATTTTTCAGTATGGAGAAGTGGCAGCGTTGCATATATTTGTTTACCGTAAATACAGTTATGTTGACGACGATATTTTGTAGGGAATTATTTGTCTATTTATATTTTTAGTCTGAGCGTCTAACATTCTAACTCGGTATCTTTATCCGCTCCGTAGATATATTTTTTCAATTTTGTAAATAAAGCTTCATCACCCTGTATCTCGGTAAGGGAGCTTGTTTGGACCCATATTTATAGGAACTGTTTTTTGTTATTTTTGAATATACTTTCTACCATAGGAATATTAGCACGTCTTTCTGGAACATCCTGTATACGGATTAGGAGACCGACATATGCTATCTTTTGTTGAGAAAATTTGATTAGGAGTGGCTGACCTAAGGGGTAAAAGCTAATATGGTGATATCGATTTCATATGGTCGGTTCTTAGATACAGTGTAAATAGTCGGGTCAAAATCACCAAGGTGGGAAATTCGCTTTCCTAGAAAATCTATTACTTAAATCTTAACTTTATTACGCAAATGAACATGATGAAATGTCAAAATTTATTCGTTTTAACTGTACATAATGCAATCTACTCTGAAAGTCAAATATTTTTATAATTATACATATATATATATATATATATATATATATATATATATATATAAGATATATTGCCGAAATGGCCGTTCGGTATTTTAAAAATTTTTATTTTACTTTACAAAACTAACTTGAAATATTTTACAATACATGAAATGTACAATATGACGAACAAACGAGGAATCTCTGGGAAAGCATGAAGAACCTCTATTTATCATCTCGGGCTCGGATGCTTTCCTCAGCATTTTCTTCTTCCACGTGCATCCTTGTCTGCATTATAACTCCTCCCCACCTAGTCTGAAAACTGAATAGGAACGTTTCTGTTTTCAGGGGTTTTTCTTCTTTTTGCATCTTTCTTGGGCCTTTCTTCACTGGATTCGGGATTATCTTCATCTTTCGTGTCTTGGGATAGATCGTTTTTCTTCTGGATTTGTTTTCTCCAAATATACCAAAAGGTTATTGCTACTGTAACAAGCAGAAAAATAGCAAAAACTGAGCTGCTAGAAAACCAAATTAGGGGATCAATAGCGGCTTCTTCTTGCATTTGAAGAAAATTTTCTTTTTCTTGCATCTCTTTGATCTTGCCGAGGTCAACAGTCTTGAGGATCAAAGCTTTCTTGGACACAAAGTTCGATCGTGCATTCCAAAATTTTATTTCTGGAAGGACCAAAGGGTTTCCTTTGACTTGATCTTCCTTGTTCCAAAACTTGGATGAGCTGATTTGTATTCCACAATTTTCGGGTATTTCGACTAAATTTGGCGTTTCTAAAATAAGTGGTTGTTGAGTACCACACATCTTGACTGCTGTGATTGGCTGTTCAGCGGGAATGACCAAAATGTGTTTTGCTTATGTCGCTTCAACAATAGGACTGGATACTTGTAACCTTGTGAGTTGACATTTTGAAAATTCTGCTTTCTTCAGTAACTCGTTTAGACAACCTTGGATGGGTTCTTGACGATTCTTGCAGAAGTAGACGTTTTCAATTTCTGGACATTCTTCTTCTTCAAATTACTGATGACTTGTTCCAAGAGCCAAAAAGGGATGGGTTGGAATAATGGTTGAATTTCTAATAGGAACTGGGTATAGACGGAAAAATTGGAATTTTTCATCAGATAATATAGGAAATCTTATAGAAAACAAGATTTTATTATCAGTAAATGTAATTTGTGAATCAGCTACTAAATAGTATGATTGTAAATTTTTAAAGTTTGGTACTTTCTTTTTACCATATAATTTTACTAAATACTTTATGTTTTTCTCTAAGTCTGTAACTGATATGATAGAACTATGTATTTAATTTTGAAAACATTATAGCGTCCTCTAAATTATCTAAAAATGTAATCAAATTTTGACAATTTAGATTATTTTGCTGCAAAATATTTTCAGCGTGAAGATAAGCGTCAAGCTTCCTACAGTTGCATTCATCGCATTTTGCTTTGCAGATGATACAATTTCGTTTTGATCTGTACCTGATTAGAACTTAATAATGAAATTTTAGAATTATCTATCAATTCTTTAGTGAGTCAGGTCTGAAGTTTCAGTTGACTATGCACAGAATTTGCGTTCTTTTTTAATTCATGAAGTGCATTATAAATTTTGATTTCGTCATCTGAGTCCATTGTACCAAAAAGAAACTTTGAAGTTTTTCCTACGAGATTAATCAATCCTCTTTTCTGACGAATACGTGGAACAATGTTATCTAATTTTTTCGTAGCTCCTTGTATTAGAAATTCTGTATGCTTAAGGAGATTTGATAATCCAAAGTGCAAGTCTGAATGATCAGCATTTAAAGGCTTATTTTGGAGTCTTTCATAGTAATTTTAGATATTCGTAATTTGCCTTGTTAATGAAGTAGTTTCTACAAAGTGAATAAAAGTATGATACGATTCTATAATACTAGCGTTACCTAGCGAATAAGGGAAAAGCGGGGCTTTTAAGGGTGTGATAATTGCGCCATTGTTGGCTTTGATTGTCGTGACTAGTAGAAGGGATAGAATGACTATCGGAATCTTTTTGACTTCCAGATTCATGATCCTGCGGAAAAGAAGACTAAGCTTTAGGTTTTTGAATTTGAGATTTGTGTACTAAACTTTTGCGTTTATTTGTAGTCCGTAGTTTGGTACCTAAATCTTTCTTAACTTCAGTTTTTGTGAATCGTGGTTTTAATTTACTCCAAGAAGCGGTTTTATCTTTGACATATGCTTTTGAACCTTGGGGAAATTTGGATGGATCCTCTCTAGTTTCATTACGCTTTTCTATAATATTCTTTTTATGAGCGTCTGTTACTTGGTGTATATTGTTGGAAATAAATTTTAGTCTTTCACGTCTATCATCAATAAATTGGCTGACAATGATCTCATTTGATAGGTCAAATGGATCCAGGACATCTAAGCGGCCATTTATAAGGTCGAATGGTCGTTGTTTTGTAACACTGAATTGACGTGTTATATGCCAGAATTGCATTTTGCATTAGTTCTATGGGACTGTTGCTGTTCGAATTACATGGTGTAGTAAAGTGAAGCTGGATTTTGTGTAATTTACAAAATTCTGTAAATAAGAAATTATTGAATTCTCTTCCATTATCAGTAGTAATTGACTGAGGAATGCCGTGATGGTTCACAAATATCAAAATATTTTCATACACTGTTGTGGCTGTACAAACTGGATCTAAATGATACGCTTGTGCATATTTTGAAAATGAATCAATGACAGTAAGACATTTTGTGTTAGAAAATTGAAAAGTGTCCATATGTAAGACTTCTAGAGGTTGCTTTGGCGTTGGTGTGAGTGAAAATTTTATTTTTGGTGGATGTCTGTCATACTTTGCTATTTGGCATAACTCACAATTATTTATGTATTCTGTTACCATTTTTGCATATTCTTCCAGTAGTATAGTTTTTAAGGGAAAGTAACGTTTCGTTAATTCCTCTGTGACAAGTCTTTGTTTCATGATGATGAGAAATTAATTCTTTTTGTTTCTCTTTGTCTGAAACATCTCTAACAAGGTGATTGGAAAAATAAAGTTTATATGCGTGGTTTTTGAAATACAAAGGTAGTATTTTGCTAATCTGGATATCTGAATCTTTATTTTCTGAACCTTTGATAAAAATGCAATATACTTTGTTTGGATCAACATAGTCTTTGAAAAACTTTATGATTTCTTCCTCTATGTTATCGCTAAGCTGTAACTGTATTTTATTGACATTTTCGAAGGGCTTAGTCCAGACAATATGATTCCGATAAGATGATTTCTGTTCAATAATTATCTGATTAGAAAATTTGTTAGTAACATATTCAGTGAAAGGTATCTCTAATATGGGGTTTTCGACTGCTGTATGGACTGTAATACTGTCATCACTTGGCTGAGGGGGTACAATTTGGATATCCGAAATTATTTTTATCTTGTTAGAGTTATCAGGAACTTCAGGGATGAGAAATTCCTCTAGTTCTTGTAAGTGTTCAATATTTATTTCGGGGTTATCATCGTCTTGTAGAAACTGAAGAATATCTTCATCAGAATCTCCAGGATTTGCAATTGTTGATTGATCTGTTTCATCTTGAATGGCGTTAAGTACTACGCGAGATAAAGCATCGAAATTGCTATTTGCTTTTCCAGATTTATATTGAATTTTATAGTTGAACTGTTCAAGAAACAGTTTCCAACGTAAAAGTCTGGGGTTAATGTTCTTTCATGTTAAACAAATATTCGAGGGGTTTGTGGTCGCTAACTATGGTAAACTCACGTCCCCATAGATATGGTTTGAAATATTTCACACCATATACTACTGCTAATAATTCTTTTTCTATTATACTATAGGCATAGGCAATCGGTCGATCCTGTCCTACTTTTCCTTGGCTAAGAATACAACCTATTGCGTAATTTGAGGCATCAGTAGTTAAAATAAAGGGCTTTTTTCAGAATCTGGGTATTGTAAAATAGGTTCATTGGTTAGAATATTTTTGCAACTTTCAAAGGCTTTTATAAATTCTGTAGTATGTTCAATTTTTGCTCCTTTCTTAAGACATTTCGTAAGTGGTTTTGTTAATTTGGCAAATATTCAATAAAGCGTCTATA